ATAGCAGCAGGTCTGTACACATCTCCAGCAATCAGCATGCAACTCTTACCCTGCAGACCATGACACCAGTGCCCATCAATGGTTTGACAATAGAATGAGAAAGAGGGAAATTGCTAATATTAGAAGGTACTTGGAGAAATGCAGGTTCTACGACCATATACGTAAATTGCAATAGAATGAGCAAGAGAGAGCGTGAGAGAGAGTAAAGCAAGGTCAGGAAAGGGTTAAGAGAAGGTGAAGTTAGGAAGTGCACCTGCTTCTTTAGATATAAAGCTAACTTTGCACTAACAGTTGTCTTCCCAACACCTTGTAGACCGGCCAATAGTATTACGGTGGGTTTAGATTTAGCAAAAACCAGTTCAGAAACCTCTCCACCCATCAGTTTCACAAGCTCGTCACGTACAATCTACACCAACCAAATGAGACAAAGAAAAAGTTCAGATCGAGCTGATAGCCAGTTGTGCAAGCAAAATAAAATTAATAACAGAAGGGAGACCGTCTGTATTCTAAGTACAATTGTGTATTGTTCAAAGTGATCAGTCCGATAATACATACTTTAACTAGTTGCTGATCAGGCTTTACTCCTCGAATCAAGCCAGTCCCAACGGCTTCTTCACTAACAGACTGAACAAACCTTCTGACAACAGGGAGACTAACCTGCCGATTATAGTTAAATGAGAGGCAAAATTTAATGTATAGAGATTAGCTGCTGAAATAGAGAGCAACATACATCAGCTTCTAAAAGAGCCCTCCTGATGTCTCTCATAGGTTCCACAATGTTTTCCTTGGTCAAAACCTCTGAAGCACAAGGAATTCAAACAACAACCACTTCATCATTATATAAAACCACATATTTAGTAACAAGGGCAATGAGAACCCAAACCTCCAAAATTTTGAAAAATGGGGACATAGAAAATATGATTAAAAGTTTGGATTTGGATAAGGCAAGCAACTCACATTTTAAACAATTAAATACTTCCCCTTAGTTTATTACTGAAACTTTAAAGTTTCAAGAAATAATGCTTGGAACTAAAAAGGAGAAGTATATCCCTGTTAAATAGAAACAATGAGAGGAAAGGCTCAAAATAGTCCCTCATCTTTGGGTTAAGGCTCAAAGTCATCCTTGAGTTTTCACATGGAGCATTAATAGTCCCTCATGTTTGCACTATTGGTGCACTTTTGGTCCTCCTCCAAAATTTTGCCTATTTTTTAACATTGATTTTATCCATAACTTATGTTATGATATGTTCAATCGTCATTTTATATATTTAGTAGAAATAATAACTCCATTTGAGAGAATGTGAGAAGAAAAACATCTTGTTTTGTTTAGTAGAAATTGTATTGCAGGTAAAGTCGAGAGGTTCATCACGATAATTTCACGCGCAATAGTACACATTTTTTTCTTTTCTTCCAACGTCATATGTTAAGATGTTCTTAGTTTAGCTGCAGTAATATTTCTACTAAACAGAACAATGTGTTCTTCTTATCACCTTCTCTCACATAGAGTTATTATTTCTACTAAATATATAAAAAGACGATTGGACATTCCTTACATAAAATTGTGGACAAAATTAATGTTAAAAAATAGGCAAATTTTTTGAGGAGGACCAAAAGTGCACCAATATTGCAAACATGAGGGACTATTAGTGCTCTATGTGAAAACTCAAGGATGACTTTGAGCCTTAACCCAAAGATGAGGGACTATTTTGAGTCTTTCCTCGAAACAATGACCCATAGTTGTTAATATGTTCTACTCTTTGCATTTAAAATCTTATAGTAGCAAGGCCCCCTCCCTTTCCATACACTTCATTGGAGTTTAACAATCAATTATACATCTTCCCGGTTTCTTCTCTTGAAGTATAATTCATTATACCCCATCTGGCACCTCCTCGAATGGATCAATATTACCATCTACGACAACTCATCATCCACCCTAAAAATGAAATCACGCATGTTGTTGAATCCTCTAAACATGTGGGGTTTAAGTCTAGACATTAAGCTTCATGTTCCAACTTATATAGCTTCCACCTCCACATCATCCCGTCCTGACAGCCCACATTTCCACTAAAACATTCTCATAGCAGAAGGTTAGGTCAACTACTTACCAATTCTTCAAGAATCAATTGTCTTGGGCATAAAATTTTGGGATTTGCTGTCCCACTCTATCTCCAAAGCCTCAACATCCATAAAGAAAATCCTCACTGATACATTTTCAGCTCTGATGAGTGATGTATGTTAAAATCTTGGAAAATGAGACGTAATTCCTAATTAAGGATAGATTCCAGGTTGTTATTATTTTGTATTTCAGCATGTTAAAATCTTGGAAAATGAGACTTAATTCCTATTTAAGGATCGATTCCAGGTTTTTTTTATTTTTTGGTAAGTCCTGCTGAACTCATTCACCAAGATTGGTATGACCCTTGTCTGACTACATGCCACATTTTGAAGAAGCTTTAGTTCACTCCTATCTTATCTCACAGCCTTTACTTAGCAAAGGCCATTTACTTTAACTGAAATCGTGACGACAACAAATAAACACATTCCCTTAGATTGCTATGATGTATTAATGAATTATCTTAAGATATTATCCTGAATATGAAAAAAACAGAAGACATTGTTCTTGAAGTCATATTTTTGAACTATCTTCCCTATCCAAGATATCAATCTTCAGTTCCCTTTCAAAAATGTAAAGATATGACACCCGGGCCTAACTCCAAAAACTAGCTCATGACGGGAGGATTGTCCAATCCATATAAACTGATGTGGGACTGTAACCCACTTTAGCACCTCATGCCTAACTAGAGCATGGACCGGGAGTCCAAACAGGGATGAACCTAGCTAAGTAGCTATGATACCATATAAAGATATGACACTTGGTTCTAACTCAACCTCAAAAGCTAGCTCATCAAGAGAGGATCATCCAAGTCCACATAACAGACCACCGGTCCATTCCCAACCAACTAACATGCGACTCTAACACACTCTTAACATATACCTACTCGAGATTAACAATTGAAGTATCAGCTCCCATACATCAAAATTTCACACAAAATTTAGCTCTTTCTTAAATTAAAAAAAATAGTACTTTTTGCTTTTACCTTCTCCTTTGAGCTTGTTCCAAGCATTTTCAAGTCCACTAGTGAGCTGTCCAAACATCTCAGCTCTAATAACTCCACGCGTTTCCCTTCTTATAGTAACCACATTCTTGGAATTGATCACCCTCCATGTATCCCTCTACATAAAAATTCAATCTTTAATCAAAAACTACAAAAAAAAAAAAAAAACAAGAAAACTAACCAATATCCAAAAGGGTCTTACAGTGAATGAATTTCTTGAAGAAAATGAAAGAGAATGAGTACAACCAATCCAAGAAGAAGAAGAATTGCAAGTGGGGTTAAGTTTGGAAGTTGAAAGGGTGGCTTTAGAAAGTGGAAAGAAATGGTGAGAAGCCATAGTTGAAGAGAAAGAAGCAGTGGCTTCCATGGTGGATTAAAGAACAAACAATCAGAAGAAGCAAATGGGAGTAAAAATTGAAGCTTTTTTCTTCTTCTTCTTCTTCTTTTATGCTTTATCCATTAGAAGAACAAAAATGTAATCTATGGTCTATCTACTAGGGGGATTGTTACAGTATTCTGTGCATCGCAGACTATCGTAATATCCTACTCCATCAACTTATTTTTTTTTGTTTCCTCCCCAGCTTCGGATATTCATATTAGAGCCCGACTAAATTCGAATCAGTGGAGTAGGAATGGTGGTAGTACTTGGATGGAGTAAAGTTGAAGTGAGCTTGGACTTTGGAGTGTGGGAATATACACAAGTGTGAAGTTTTATTATATTGTCCTTCGAGATGGCTTAGTTGGTTTGGAGGTACACGAATGATCCGAGATCGATCCCCCTCAATGTCTTCTGAGTCGAGTTTGTCGCATAGGGCTTGTCTAGTGCAGTTTGCATCATCTATATGCTTTGCAGGCGGGTTATCCTGGGGTTCAAAGAAAAAATTATTATTATATAATCGGTTAATTTATACGATAATGAAATTTAAATTTTTCATTATTTATTTAATGTATTTTTTTTGCTTTTCTTCTTTCCTCTTTTTGCTACTTATGTTATTTCTTATTTAGTTCACTCTATGTAATGAGTGGGTTCAAACGAAAAAGAAGTCAATATTAAAATTGCGAAGAAGGATTTTTAATTGGAATTGACGTAAATAAGCAAATAAGTAAGATATTATAAGTGATAGAATAATTTATGGTTATAAAACTATATATATTTCTTTTATTGAAACTTGTATTTATCACGATTCAAATTCATGTTTGTCTTGTGAGGTTTGCTCAACATACCTCATAAATTTATCCTTTAATATAATAGTAGGACAAATTTCAACGAAAATTAGATCCTTATAAGGTTGTATATGACACTAATAACATAAGGATAAATCGATGAGGATCGGCTAAAATCAATAGATTTTGTAGGTTGACAAGTTTTTAAAGATCAAATACATGTTATATCTTAGACAAAATATATATTTTAATATGAAAGACATGATTCATAATGCATGCGCGCTTTTACACTTTGTTTGGATGGTTATTACGTGTTATTTCATAATGTATCGTATTGTATTGTTTTAATGAATACAGTGTTAGTCTTCGGATAGGTTGTATTGTTCTCCGTGTTACATAATGTCACTACATCTATGATTTAAATGATAAACCTACAAGAAAAGTAAGGTACGAGGTAGAGATACTATGAAAATGTAAGGTAAAAGATGAAATATAATTATTAAATAATAAATAAAGATAAAATGAGAAGAAAATATTAAGGTAATGACGCGATCACACCAAATCGATCGTTCCATATAATGGTCTTTTCATTGTTACCTAACGATGGATTTAAGCAATACGACACAATAAAATTTAAGTAACAATCAAAACAAACATTGTATTTAAATTAACAATACAATACAATATAACGAATAACAACCATCCAAACAAGGTGTTATACTCAAAAATAACATAGCTTGAGAAAATATTGCATGAGATCCGTTAAGCTAAAACAGACAATACGTGTCATGAGCTTGAATTGTCACGCTTCTATAAATATGCATTAAAGCAATCAATGACCCTTTTTTTTGTCTCAAAATAAATGACCAAACACCTCCACCTTATACCTCTCCACAAAAACACTAAATTCTTGTCACTTTTTCATACTAACAAATCCACCATTTTCACCAAAGCTTCAAGCTTTACTACTACTACTGCTACTCCATGGAATACCCATTTGAGAAATCTCTCAAAACATGGTCAGTACAACGAAGCACTCATTCTTTACCGTCAAATGCTTCAATCTGGAGCTACCCCAAATGCCTTCACTTTCCCTTTTGCTCTCAAATCTTCAGCTTCACTCGCCCTTCCCATCACCGGAAAACAACTCCATTGTCATGTTATCAAGTTGGGTTGTGAATTTGAGCCTTTTGTTCAAACTGCATTGATATCTATGTACTGTAGATGTAAGTTAACTGAATTTGCACAGAAAGTGTTTGATGAAATGCCTCAAAGAAATCTTACTGTTTGTTACAATGCTTTGATTTCTGGGTATGTTCAGAATGGTAATTTCTTGAATGGGTTTTTGTTGTTTAGTGAAATGAGGTTGAGAGGAGTGTTGTTTAATGCGGTTACTGTTTTGGGATTGGTTCCAGGTTGTACTGCTTCGCGGTATCTGTGGTTGGGGATGTCGTTGCATTGTTTGAATGTTAAGTGTGGATTGGTGAATGATTTGGCTATTGTAAATTGCTTGTTGACAATGTATGTGCGTTGTGCGTCTATGGAGTTAGCGAGGAAGTTGTTTGATCATATACCAGGAAAGGGGTTGATCACTTGGAATGCGATGATTTCTGGATACGCGCAAAATGGGTTGGCTGGTGAAGTGTTGGAGCTTTATCATGAGATGGAATTGTTGCAGGTGAATCCTGATGCAGTGACATTTGTTGGAGTTTTGTCAGCTTGTGCTAATCTTGGTGCTCAAAAGATTGGCTTTGAGGTGGAAGAGAAAATAAGGTCTAGTTGTATGAGATGGAATGTATTCTTGAAGAATGCTCTAATAAATATGTATGCTAGATGTGGTAATTTGGCGAAAGCACGGATTATATTTGATGAGATGCCAGAGAAAAGCTTGGTCTCCTGGACAGCAATAATAGGTGGTTATGGAATACATGGGCTTGGAAACATTGCTGTGGAGCTTTTTGATAAGATGATCAAGACTGGCATTCAACCTGATGGAACGGTGTTTGTTAGTGTTCTAAATGCATGTAGTCATGTAGGGTTGACTGAAAAGGGGTTAAATTATCTTGATCTGATGAAGAGGGAGTATGGGTTGAAGCCATGCTCAGAGCACTACTCTTGTGTTGTGGATCTATTAGGTCGTGCTGGTCGACTTGAGGAAGCTCGGAAACTTATTGAATTGATGGAAGATGAGCCTGATGGTGCTGTGTGGGGTGCCCTTTTGGGTGCTTGCAAGATCCACAAAAATGTTGAACTTGCAGAATTAGCTTTTAACAAGGTTGTTGAGCTTGAGCCAACAAACGTAGGCTATTACGTGCTACTTTCAAATATCTACACAGAGGCAAATAATTCAGAAGGTATATTAAGAGTTAGATTGATGATGAGAGAACGAAAGCTCAAAAAGGATCCAGGTTATAGCTATTTTGAGTGTAAAGGGAAAACTTACCTTTTCGTGGCTGGCGATAGAAGTCATCCTCAAACAAAAGAGATATACAAATTGTTGAACAGATTGGAGGATACTGAAAGTGAGTATGGAGGAGCAAGCAAAAATGGTCAAGAGGTAATAAATCACGAACTTCCTAACATTATTGGTGTTCATAGTGAACGTTTGGCAATTGCATTTGCTCTGTTGAACACTGAAATAGGGACTGACATTCTTGTTATAAAGAACTTAAGAATATGCAATGACTGTCACTCGTTTGTAAAGCGAGTCAGCAAAATTGTGGACCGGTTATTCGTGGTCAGAGATGTCACCCGTTTCCACCATTTTAGAAATGGTACATGTTCTTGCAATGATTATTGGTGACTGGTGAGACTGGACAAATGATAACAAGAACTTTGCAGTGAAGCTCATTATAAAGATCAAAAACAGTCATGTATGCTCTCTGAATCTTGAAGCCTGTGGCAACATTGTGCAACTCTGTTTTCATCAAGTCCTCGGGACCTAACTGAACACAACCTACACCCCATGCAAGGGATCATAGTATATTGATGGTTGAACCTCTTCCGAGTTGACCTATGTGGTCCATATAAGAAAGAACATGCATTCACCAGAAGTTGAAAAGTTGAGTGACCATGAGATATGAATTGTCAATTGTCATCACAAGAAAATAAGGGCAAACAAGGGTCCACTTTTGAAAACACAAATGTGTTTGGATGTTTGATGGAGGCATCTCCTTCCTTGAGCACAAATTTTAGGGGCAAGCATGTTGAGATCTTTCAAGGAGGGGCAGAAATTTGGTTAACTTCTAGATCCCTAAAACCATTTTGATGTAGTGGAGCTGAACTCGAAAAGAAACAGTTACATGTTTGGCTACAATAAGCATTAAGAACTATACCATCATTCGACAAAATGTTTATTGATTATGATGTATGTTCTCTTCTCTTTTTTGCAATGCTAGTGCCTCAACTTTCAATTCTATCCTTATATGTGTGTAAACACCAACTCCTAAATGTTGTCGCGCAGCATTCATACTACTGAATGACACTCCACACGTTGACAAATGGTTTTTCATCGTCTCATGAAGAAAAAGAAGTACTTATTATGTAACAGAAGCAATGCTTACAATCAGGAAGAAAACTAGCCATCTTACAGACAAGAATGCAAAATAATGTGAATTCTTGCACTTCTACAATCTGTTTTTCAAGCATAAAATTGATGGATCCAATAAAAGTTGCTACTCTGAATCAAAGGATTCTAATGTATAATGATATATTGTCAGATTAAGTATCACCGCGGATGTAACAATCATTATCTCAAGCCACAAACTTTAAGAACTGTGTCTGTTCCAGAGACACAACTATCTTCAACAAATGGAATTGTCTTCCAAACTGTTAATTTCATAGGATTATTATTACAATCACCTGTGGTAATCACAAAACATGTTTAGAACTCTTCTTTATCGACATTCTCAACTTCATGGGGAAAAAAGAACTTTTCTTACCTTTTGTTTTCACATCCTTTTCGGTGCAAATGGCAATGTAATGAGAACTAGCAAACTCCAAGAGCATAAACTGCCAATTACTTGTAAGGTTCTCTGTGTTGTCATGAGGATCCACTACTATTTCACTTACCTGAAATAAAAGTATGTGTATCAACAAAAACATTCAGTGTAACGTTGAGATAAAAATATGATATCTTCTATAAGTTAGCTAGTACTTGCTCGAGAAAAAAACAGTACCGAGGAAATGCTCTGTTTGGACAAGGCTTAAGAGTGCATTTATTTCTCAAATGGTTTAACCTGACTACTTTTTTTCATAAAAACATGGCTAAACCCATAGAAAGATGCACCTAAGACAAATGCAACATAGACCCCTCTGAAGTAGAGGTCAAAGTTGAATAAAAAGTAACTGTTGTGGCATACCTCAGCACTTGAATTCTGAGACGGATGAAAGTGTTCTCCAATAGAGCGCCCAAGACGAATGGTAAACGTCTTGAAAGGTGCACCTGAGAAACCCTTCCCAAGTGCTTTAACATATGCCTCCTGTGAACAATATATTTCTTCAGAGAACTTACATAATAGATAATACAAGGAAATAATGTTCCTCCTTCACATTTACATAGCATACAAGCAGTGAAACGACCGTCTTTATTGATTAAGCAGTGACGACAACATGTTCGAAGAAAGTGGATCAGATATGACGCATAAAGCCAAGTTATGGATCAGTTATAACTCTCCAGTTACTATAAGCAAAACATCAGTCCATTCCCCAACCAACATGGGTCTCTAACCCACTAACACCCCCCCCCCTA